CTTTTCTACGGTTCACTCGTATGTCTTCCACACGCATGGTTGAAAAAGGCGGTGCTTCTAATACTGAGCAGCTAGTCTGGAAAAGTCCTATTTTTGTCTGAAATATCGCGGCTCTAATATCATATAATTTCAGTAGGTATGAAATCTCGCGGCTCGAATGTCATAAATTTTTGTTTGATTAAAAAATCGCGGTTTGCACTTCGCAAACATGTCATTTCATAAAATTGTCAACTTCCGCAATCCGCATTGCTTTACCGTTTCCGCCAAAAATATCTTGCAGAAAAAACATAAACATCGTAATGTAAACAAATAAACAAAACGTTTGTTGAAGATCGCGCATAGTTGCGGTCATGTCAAAGCGGTCAGACTGTATATTAACACGTGCTGAACTAGTGAACTTACAGTAGAGACAAATTTTATTGTTGCCGTTTGACTGTTTAAGGGTAAAATTAGAGATTTGGGGTAACACGTGTCACGTGCATAAACTTTGTAAATAAATTCGCATTCGCACCTTGTAAATGGCTTTTCATGGCCGTCGTTGGCCGAGACATGGAATTCACGGCTCGGTGAAATAGAATCACGGCTCGTAGAAATGGAATCACGGCTGGCAAATCCATAAAACCACGGCTCGAAAAATTCAGTCGCGGCTCGCCAAGTAGATATATTCCATACTAGCTGAGCAGAGCTGCTCCGGTGAGGTCAGCATTCTTTTCGAGCCATCATCTGCTGGGCGGATGAGGACCACCCAGGAGTCTTGTCGATCAGTTGTGGTGGCACTGGTGGCGGTGGGCAAGTCCAACCCCACAACATCATTGGTATTCTTTCGAGTTGTTTCCACTATGGGAACAGGAGCTGAGATCATTCAGGCATTGGGCCTCTTCTTTGTATCTCCCGACATTTCTTCACTGGTAGCAGGCGCAATCGGTCATTGCCAGCTGACTCAGCTCTGATGCGTTTGGTGAAGCACCAGGATCAATAAGATCTTGACCCTCAGATGTATTAGTCATTGAGGGATCGTTTAGCACTTTCACAAATCACAATGATAAGAAAAACAGAGAGGTTCACAGGAACGTCCTCTTTCGACAACGCGGTTGTAACTTCAAAAGAATTCGGGACGATACAAGTAGTCGGACAGTTTGCTTGCGAGAAAGCCTGGATTGCAATTTAGGAAGCCAGAGATGAGTGAATAAGCAGCTGTGTAAAACACGAATTTATAAATTCGAATCTTGAATATAATTAAGAAGTTTCACGTGTAAATAATAATATCCGAGAAAATTTCCTATCAAATTTAGACGAATTATATCGGCTTTGCGGAAAAAATAGTTTATATGGTTTTATGAACACTCTTCATAATGATATTGAAAATCTGTGCATGTTAACTCATATTCTTATTTGCGGAACTCAATTGCAGTATGACGAGTAATGAATGATGATGATATATTTTTTCAGGCGTCGTAAAGGACCCCAAACAGGTCAGTTGTCACACCTGGACACGGCAATTTCAACGCTTCTTTTCAAGTTTGCTTAGTCTTCACTGGTTTCTATTATTTCAAGAGCAGTTAACTTAGCAGGGCTTTAGCTTCACAATGTCCCCATCCGGCCGGTACTTGTGAGAAAGGTGATTACGGCCTTGATCACAAGGTGTTGCTCCTGTTTTGTGAGGTCACTCCCTCCCAGCAAGATTTGCACCGTATGTCACAGATAACGTTTACTAGTTCCACTAACTCAAGATGCCTATATATGGCGGAAGCAGCGTTCAGTGCGTGACCCAATTTAGCTGCTTGATGCGCCAATTCATTTCCTTGTATGCCAGCCTATACCATTCTTATTACAAACCTGCTTTTAAATTTAGGTTGAAGCGCTCAAGAAACTACAGAATTACACATTTATTTAGAAAATTTAATTGAAAATCGGCGAGTCTAACATAGATGGAGCAACTATAAAAAAGAATGTGAGCAAGTAACAATATTATGACAATTTTCCGAACGATAAGCGCTTGGAAAAAAACCGACTTAGTCAAATTGCAGATTGCGCCATAATCAATTGACCTGAAACATGACGGTTGGAATTACTGCGAGTAATTGAAAATTAGCGCTCATATTCAATTTTTGAATGAGGGAGTCTTCATATACTCTCCCTACTTTCTAAATATTTCAATTAAAAAACATATTTTATGAAATATGTGCACTAAATAATTTAATTCAAAACATTTGTAATTGGTCTTAGTTAGTTGCTTTTAAGTGTGTTTTATCTCAGATGTAATCGTGGGCATCGCAAAATAAGATTTGGATTGATTGTCGAAACTAAATTTAATCAAGCCATTAATAATAGTACAGGTCATTTTATATAAACAAATATAAAAGTTAATCATTTTTTCATGTTCAATTCCACCCAAGAATACAATATTTGAACTTGGTTGATTGGATGGAAAAAATTTAGTGTAGAAAAGTTTTCTTCACACTTCGAAACGAAGGTTGAATAGGAATTTCATTTTAAATATGGGTTAGGTCCGGCCTTTCTCTTCTTAGCTTAGCTTGAAATTACCAACAGGATATCGATAATCTAAAGTCTCAGGGCATACCTGTTAGAGGCAATGCGAGATTAAGCTGCTAATCAATCGTATATTTTCAACAATTTGTGTTTTCTAAACCAGGTGCCGCGAGTACATAGTAAATGAATATTCAAGCGCGTATTTGCAATACATACACTGTAGTATCGGCATGTTACCGTAGCTAAAATTTTTTTGTTTAATAGGTATCGTTAAACGAGGGCTGCATTCCAAAAACTACGTTTAAACTTTATCTAAAATTAACTATAACTTATTTCTTTCACTAATAAAAAATTAACTTCGATTCAAATTTGGGAATGGAACTTTAATTTAGGTTGAATTTAATTCCTGCTCATCAGCAGATGAACATGTTTCTCATATCATAAAAGGGGCCGACTCATTAGAATGGTGGATAGATTTCATAAAATTTAACATGGATCTATGCAATCTATGCCATTACGAGGCTGTCCATTATTTAGGTTGAATGAAAAAATTGGTTTCTTCACAAATTTATTGCTATTTTTTATATATAATGAAACAGTTGTTCGTCGCTTGGTGGAGATAAATCGATCTTATGGTTGGAATGAATAGGATCTAAGGTATGGTTAGGTTTCATTGCATTCAAAAGTTCTTTCGTTCGCATATCGTAAAGTTTTCCCTGCTGTAAATTAATTCTTGGAAGCATCAAACATGTCCTGCTCTTGGTAACATTGTATTTCATTGCAAAATAAGGCAACAGTAGTGAGTCCATCACGAGGAGGACAAGAGCATGGAGATGGTGTGCAGAGCAGCAACTAATCTTATCATAATCGATTTCCCAGTGCAAACAATTCTAAGTGCATGTAATGTTAGCGTGGAAACCCACCAGGCGAAAAGTTTCTCTAAGGACCTAGCTTGTTTCTGTTTGGCTAATTGCTTCTCAATGGATACGGTAATGGAAGTTGAGCTAGATTTTTATTGAAAAATATATATAAGAATCTACTGCAATTTTTACGGAAACATGCTCATAATTCTGATAGTTACTGAATTTTGGCGTACGTATTTTCACTGTATATGATTTGCCTGTAAATTTGTGCGCACTTCAGTTTTATTGGCGTTTACTTGGTAGTTTGAAATTACTGATAGGAAAATGCTTAAAAATTTTAAATATAATAATTATAAATCGTCAAAGCCTTGCATGTTCTTACAAAGCTATGACCTATTCACAGAGGCGGACAGTAGCGCGCTACATGTAGCGGCCGCTACATTTTCAGTAGCGGTAGCGGCGCTACATTTATGGCAATGTAGCGGTAGCGGTAGCGCCCGCTACATATTGAAGTAGCGCTACGAGGTTTTGCCGCTACAGCGCTACCGCTACATTAATAGATAAAGCCTCTAGATTTTACTTAATAGTATTAAATATTATTAAAAAAACAGAATGATATATACATTATGTAAATTACAGAATAAAACTACGAAAGATTTCGGTGTAATGTTGTCAACATCAGCCTGTTACTAGTGTCAACATGTTAGTTGTTACTTCTTAAGTTGTTACCAGTTACCACTTATAGGTATTTTTTCATAACATAGTGATGTCGGCGCTGAAGTGTAGGCCTGATGTGGCCTACACTTCATGTTTCAGTTTGCTTACAGTTATTTTTATGTTTCACCTTCCCTACATGGATGTCTACTTTAATCTACCAATCTCAAAAATAATCCACATATATATATATACAAATTAAAGACTGCTTTTTTATATGTATATGTGAATAATTTTTTAGATTGGTAGATTAAAGTACACATCCATGTAGGGAAAGTAAAACATAAAAAACCCTGTAACTTTTATTTACTGTATCTAACCCGTACTAGTTCGGTTAGGTTAATTGCAATAAAGTTGCATTGATAGGTTTGAAAAATGTTTTATTACCTTTAAATGTTTATGAGCTAGTGAATCCCAATAGCAGAATTAATACTTAGAGATTTCCAATAATTTTGGTCATTGTAGCGGCGCTACATTTTACTGTAGCGGTAGCGCTCACTACAATCTAGTGGGTGTAGCCGTAGCGTTAGCGACCGCTACATTTAGAGAATGTAGCGGTAGCGGTAGCGCCGCTACATTTCAAAGTAGCGCTGCTCAGCTCTGCCTATTCACCCCGATGGGCTTTGGCTGAAAAATCTCGGCTCTGAATTTCGTGTCCAGTTGCATTGACCTCTTAAGTAATAGGACACAACGCATGCGTGTATTAATTATCTGATGTCAAATGATCAGCCTACAAGATCTCAATGTACACTCAAGTTTACCAGGATTCGCTCCGAGACTGCAAATCTGCGTTGAACACGCGAACACAGGCAGTCGAGGCAGATCAATACTGATTCGGTGTTAACCGTTTTGCATCTAATAAAACTACGGTTCGCGGAACCAACATTTCAGTGTCTCAATTCAAAAAAGGCATTGGGTCGAGGAATACGCTCATGCAGGTATGTGGTTTATTCTCAAGGTAAAGGGATCATTAGAGTTAGATTTCACGTGTGTTCCATGCAATACTAAAGGCTTGACATGAACCTCGCACAGCGAGCATTCAAGTCAAATAGCATCATGGGGAGAGACTCTTTTTAGTCCATGTATAATTTTATTCGCATGAGTGATCCACTGGAAATTATCATTAGAGAAATCTAATTGAACGCAATTCATGAAATTCTGTGTTGCATGAAGAAGGAAAAGCACCTTCCGTTCACGAGATGCCGGGTTTATCTATAATAGAAACAATCGAAAATGCATGAAGTTAGAAAATGGATAAATAGGGTTCGCTTTAAACACTCGGTATGCATTCACATGGATTAAACACATAAATGCCGCTATGGGTATCTATCAAACTAGAAAGACATAGGATTACAATAAGTGGTTAGAGAAATTCACACTATTTGTTCATTTGTTATCGGGATGCTCTAAAAATATCACAAGAAGATGGTCGTCACGCGATAAATTTGCCCGGAATTCTCCAGACACAACATCTGCCTAGCTAGAAGAAAATTTCTTCCTGGACCCGAACCTTCCCTTCAGGAATCCTAAGGATTTATAAATAAAACATAAATTACGTCGAAGTAAAACTGGAAATTGTCCTTATGATTAAGTGCCTTGCCCTGCCCACCGCACAGAACATAAGACTAGACACGCACAACTCAGGTTTGATGAGGAGTATTTGAGGTGGCGAATGCAGAAGAGGGCAAAAATACTTTTGATGAGATATATCAGTACAATATGTGTAGATTTCAGTAGACGTTAATTGAATATTTAGAAGACGCTCACATAGCGCTTCGGGAAAAATTTGTGGAGTAATTTTTGTTAAAATTAGTTATGCGAATTGATACCTCTAAGTTTATTGATGCTCCACATATCCTGAAATACTCGTTGCTCCAAAGCTCTCTTTTGTAAAAAGTGATCATTATAAATAAATTACGAGTATCTTTTCAGTCTTAATGCTGTATATAGTAGTAAAAAATCCAAAGAATTCAGAACCAATAAGCAGCATGTCTGGAAGCTGAAGGCAAATATACAGCTTAATGAATGAGGTATAGCAGGCGTTAGAGGCCCGAATCTCTGTTCTGACAGCTTGGGTCCGATCTCTTCGAGGGCAAGTGTGTGGTCTCGCAAGGGCGAGATCCATGAACAGAAATGCACTCCGATGAACACGTCCTCATCACCATCAAAATTTCCAGCTCCTCAGAATCCAGGATTGCCGCTGAACTTCTTCCAACCACAACTGTTCTCTTCAACACGCTGATTGTGCTCACGACTCCAAGATGGGAACCTCGCACCACGAGGGTGGTTACGATCATGTCACGAGCGGTACCACAGCAATCTGCTGCTGTCTGATTAACAGAATTACCATCTGGATTCATATCCATGCAAAATGAGAGATTAGTACAATGAGATGGTGCCTCCAACAAAACCTTGCCGAATTGTGAACAACAATTCAGCGTGCTGGTTGTGAAGAAGGCTGCCATCAGTGTGTCAGCGTCATATTGTTGTTCGTGGAGAAGTTCGTTGAAAGATAATGCTAGTACCGAAGTATTCGCTTTCCAGGCACAATTTCCAACAACGCCTCCTTCAGAAGTTTTTCTTATTCTGCTGAGGTCCAAAAAGCAGCCCTCTGTAGTCGTAACGAGCGCAGCTTCATTGTTATCTTGATGAGAATGATCCGATAATAATGCAAAATTTAAATCCTTATTCAATAGTGAGGTGGGTGGAAAAGATGCATCACCAGGGTGCTTCTCAAACTCAATTTTACCGACATTATTTAGCTGAATGCCATTTTGAACATCCGTTATTGTACAGTTCGATTCCTCATCATCAAAAATGCTGATCGGTGCACGTGCATCAACATATTGAATGATGTTCTCAGACTTTCCAAACACAGAAGCAAACGTAACTCCCACACCTAACAGACTGTGCGCCTGTTTAGGACATATATTCATCTCAGCATCGTGCTTTTTGAAAATGTCCTTCAAGGATTGAAAAGAGTGAGCAATATCGTGGAAGAAATGTTTCCTTTCCTCACAAGTTTCACAAATTCCTTTCTCGGGTCGCGCTTTGCAGTCGCAGGAACTGTGAGACTCGATGCGTGGTCGTTCATGATGTGCGAAGTGTGATGGGACCACAGGTGTGGTCCAGTTCTGGGGGAACTTGTGGCCTTTGTTGTGGCTGAAGTCATCCAGAACGGTCAACAGTTCAAGACTGGGACCGATGACATCGTTGTCGGACCATGTAATTACATCACTTCCAGCAGCCTTAGGGTTTTCAGCACTTGGAAAACTTTGTGACCCGACGTTGGCTTCACAGTTAAACTTCTCATTACACGATTCTCTTTGACCGACACTTTTCTTCCCGCTAAAGAATTTAATTTTAATACTTTTGGTCTTTTGGTCAGAGTTTGTGTGCTTAGCGTCTGTACTGATATTCTTAACGTTTTCCTCGAGATCACGCGATGAAGGCGTTGCTGAGAAGCGCGTTGCGCTTTTGCTTTCGCTTCGTTTCTTCGAGCGGATTTTGAGGCTGCTCAGCTGTCTTTGTGGGTCGGCAGAGTCGATCAACATTTTTTTTACAATCTTAGACGCCTTCTGGAGCTTTGGTTGCTTCGTTCTTTTCAATGAATCCATGGTCACAATTTTTTCGTACACGTTTTTGCTGGAGTGTTGAGGAGGAGGTCGGTGAGGAGGTCGAAAATACTTGGCTGAAGGAAGCTAAACCGGCGACGCTGCGCTGCTCGGAAATAAAAAAAAATCTGTTAAAAAATGACACTTTTTATTAAAAAGTGGTCTAGTGTGAAGTAAAGTTTACGTTAAAGAATCATCCATTGAAGAATAAATTCACAAATTCATTTATAGATTACCGTTTTTCAGAGGAAGTGTTGGACGAGGGAGCATGAAAAGCTAAACTCAATACGTGCAAAATCGAGCCAGATTTGTTCTTTCTTTCTAAGAAGGGATGACCCTAAAAAAATTTGCGGTAATAATTTAATTGTTTTTGCGTACAAATAATAAAAATTATGAATTACTTAAAATATCATCGAAACATTTCTTATGTAGGTTACATGATATATGGTAGTATATAATTGAGAATAAAAGTTGAATACACCGAAAACTGTGACTCGTAGCCACGACTGCTAATGAAGCCACATGCAATGCCAAAAAATGCCAAAAAATTAATTAATTATTAATTATAAATGCCAAAAAATTGAAATACGATATATAAATCGAGAGAAAAAGGATATTCAAGGAAATGGAACGATTAAGGACGATTGAAGACGATTGAGGGCCGTAGATTATTTGTTTAAGCTCGACACATTCCTCGGTCGCAAAGCTACACCAGTTGTTTTCATCGCCCTGCTGGTAAAGTGACCATTTTGACCTAGGCAGGAAGAGTATGAGCCTGACAATACCAGGCACTGACGCACTGTAATCGGGTTATACGTAAGCCAAAAGTAGTGGTGAATATTAAACACCAGCTCAGCCCAGAAGCATCCGCAATGCATTTTAGCTCAAGGTGAAAGCAAGGCATTTCCGGTAAAGTGTAAACTTCACTAGCCCAAATGACGCACCATACACAAGCAGTACAGTTTAACCTGATGAAACTTGAGTTGCATCGTCCTTTTAAATTAGTATTGCAACACGAGTACGAATGGTCATGTTCAGTCAGTGCCGCTTAAGTCACCACTCTCACTCTGACGCATTTTGATAGCCCGATTAATATGCGAATGAATACTGACTAGAAATTCATATTGTTGCTTAAGAGCTGAAAAAATTTAAAACCTGTCTAAATATTAAGAAAGAATTGTTTCTACCATATTAGTCAGATAAATCGTTCTGGTGGTAGAGCGGTGACTAGTGTGGAAATGTATATTGCCGAATTCGATAAATCCGACTAATTTCAATGGAACCAACTAATTTCAATGGTCCTAACTATTTTCGATTAACCCACAATTCTAGATACACATATATATATTTTTACTATAAATACGTTTAGACCGAATTTATATATCTCAAGCAACATAACTTACATTCATACACATTCCGAAGAAACTTGTACCATATATTTGTAAACCTTTCAAAAAACGTTTATATATACATAATATTTATTTTTTTAAAGAACTTCTATACACCTGATATCAAACGCTAATATGGGCTTATGAAACTTTCTATAAATTACATAATATTTTAAATTAAGTTTATAAGTCTTTTAGAACCATTACTCAATCGGATTCGATGAAATATGATAACAGAGCTTATCATCCGTGCAATAAATATCCTTTTAATTTCTAACGTGAAATTGGATGTAAAATAATAAGTTTGAATATCAATTCATGTAGTCCTCAATATTCATACACTGCATAACCACCAAATGAATCGTTCTATGAACACGCCTAAATTGTTCACGACTTCCAAGCGTTCCGATAACACAAAACTTACAGAGTTCTCACAAATGACAGTTAACACCCCCCCCCCCTACCTGCTAACCGTATACAGAATTGGGGTCCATGGAGGTATCGGTTGGGGGGCAGAGAAGATCGATTTTCCACTACCTAAGCTACACATGGGAGAGCATGCAGCTTTTGACCATAAGCTGGGCAGCATGAAGCGGGAACTAATGAAAAAACGAAGTGTTGTGAAGGTGAATTATGTATTATTTGTCATTTGGATGTTGAAACTTGAAAGGCAACCAAAGTCAAGGAAATACATATTAGAAGTTACTACACTACGCTGACTTACTAAAGGAATGGCTGACAAATGATCGATGTCTTGGTTTCGAGCCCTAAGTGTTAGGTCAAAGATGAAAAGGAAAAAAATATTGTAAGGAAACGTAGGTGCTGACTCGTAGAAAAAAGGGTTATACACATACGTATAAATTACAAATAAAGGGATTCGAATTGTGAGCAGTAAATAAATACGAAAGCTAACCTTTAATTTCTCACAACAAACGCCATGCACAATTACAAGATAAGAGCAATTTTCTCTAATTGCATTCCAGCAATAACGGAAGGGGTTGCGGAAACCGGATCAAAATGATTAAAAAATAAATTCAGGTAAACATTGAATACGAAATGTACGTGGAAAATTAATTTGCTTACGTATGCACGAAATTGATGTATATGCAGAAGACGCTCTCCGTTATATAGGCCAATTGTCGTGCATCAGATGAAATGACATTTCTAGGCGGCTCATCCTGTAGCAAGCTCGTAGACAACCGTCAACTCAGTTACATGGAAACGCACATCCACACCCTACCAAGGCTTGGCAAAGACTGAACGCGGTCTGCGAGGCAGCGAGACTGCGAGACTGCGACTCTGCGTCTGTCAGGCAAATCACAACGAGCTTCAGCCGTCAGTATTCAGTAAGTTTCCACGGCCCATGTGGTATCCCATTGTCGCAGCTCATTATCCCTTCATTATACAGTTTATTCTTTTGGTCTTGGGTAGGTATGTTGTACCAGGCTTCGTTGAAAGTTCAAAGACAAACTATATCTATGCACTTTGGATGAAAACCAAAACAATTGGGTTCCGACCTCATGAAGCATGTGTTGTTATTAAATAAATTTCTTTCTTTTCGATACCCAAGATTAAGCATAGAAAGAGACTTCAATTTAATTCCCCTTATTAACAATATTTTTTTGTTTAGCATTTTACGGGTTTTTACCCATCGGACCTAACGGAAACATCATTGTTCTCTGGTTTACTCTTACATAGAATGGCGACAGTCAGAAGAGCCTGCACAGAAACAGATTTCCGTTGAAGATTCAGATAGAAGTCTGTAGGCACGACACTAAACGCAGATTTCAACCTGTGATGATTACAGTCATCCCGTAAGTATTATAGAGTTAATTAATCGCTCAGTCCTGACCTGAAACTCATTGTTTAGAATAAGCAAGGAAAAATTATTTTGTTTTCCGCAGGAGATTGCGGGTTTGGGCATTTCCCTTGGTCTTGCGATAAGGCAGCAAACAGCGCGTGAGCTGCAGTGCAAAGTGCGGCTGTGAACGTCATTGGCTGACGCTGACTGACATGCAGCGTTGTATGCAACGCTACTTGTGCGTATGATTAAATAGGGATTTTTAAAATGATCTTTTATAAATATATAGAGAGAGACGTTTCCTATTGTCTCATATCTTTTAAATAATTGGGTGAATCGGAGTGATCTACTCCACCAAATTTACGTTACGTTCAGGTTCAAGATACCGGTATTCATTACTTATCGTTTTGTCAGGTAGGCTGCCGAGTGGCATTTGATTTGGCACGTGAATAAGGTTCTCTTTTTTTTGGAAGCGTTACGGCAAAGAAAAATACAAAGAGAGGGTTGTAATGAAACACTGATACATTTCATATTAAATTGAGAAATTCAAGTTCACATCCTACGTTAACAAACATCTCTAGTATATAGGTAAATGAAAAAGGCGAGCTGAAACATAATCAAA